CAGCTTTGTACAGGGCAGATCATGTTTTACTAATTTTCGTTGATTTTTTTTGAGGAGGTGATGAGGGTGGTCAATGAGGATAGAGCAGTAGATGGTGTTTATATGGATTTTAGTAAGGCTTTTGACAGGGTCCCTCATAGTAGGCTCATTGAGAAGATTAAGATGTATGGGATCTATTGTGACTTGGCCATTGGATTCAAAATTGGCTTGCCCATAAAAGGCAGAGGGTAGTGGTGGAAGTGACGCAAGTTTTTCTGGCTAGAGGTCTGTGACGAGTGGTGTTCTGCAGGGATCCATACTGGGACCTCTGTTGTTTGCGATTTATATAAATGATTCAGATGAAAACGTAGATGGGTGGGTTAGTAAGTTTGGAAACAAAGACTGGGGGACTTGTGGACAGTGTGGAAGGTTGTCAAAGGATACAGTGGGATATAGACCAGTTACAGATATGGGCAGAGAAATGGCAAATGGAGTTTAATCCGGGTAAGTGTGAGGTGTTACACTTTGGGAGATCAAATGTTAAGGAAAAGTATTTAGTTATTAGCAGGACCACAAATAGCAATGATGCAGAGGGATCTTGGGGTTGTAGTCCATAGCTCCCTGAAAGTGTCCACACAAGTAAATAGGATGGTAGAGGAGGTATATGGATTGCTTGCCTTTATTGGTCAGGGCATTGAGTACAAGAGTCAGGAAACGATGTCGCAGCTTTATAAAAATTTGGTTAGGCCGCAATTAGAGTACTGCATTCAATTCTGGTTGCGACACTACAAGGAGGATATGGAGGCTTTGGAGAGGGTGCACAGGACGTTTACCAGGATGCTAACTGGATTAGAAGGTATGAGCTATAAAGGAGAAGCTGAAAAGACCCGGGTTGTTTTCTCTGGAACAGTGGAGGTGAGGGGAGACCTGATAGAAGTTTACAAAATTATGACAGGCATAGATAGGGTTGACAGTCACAATCTTGTCCGCCCCCAGAATTGAAATGTCTAATACTCGAGGGCATGCATTTAAAGTAAGAGGGGGAAAGTTTAAAGGAGGTGTGAATGGCAAGTTTTTTTTGTTACACAGAGAGGTAGGTGCTTGGAATGTGCTGTCAGGGGTTGTGGTGGAGGCAGATATAATAAGGGCTTTTAAGGGTCTTTTAGATAATCACATGAATAAGCAAGGAATGGAGGGATATGAACTATGAGCAGGCAGAGGGGATTAGTTGGAAGTCAATTCTCCACTAACTTTGAAGTTTACCGGTTATTTGGAATTAGACCACATATACATGCAGAAGTATAATTTATTTGGGTACAGCATGACATGCAGCTAGCACTGTAGCTCAAGTTTGCTAGCTCTTCATTGTTTCAGCATGTGTTAGTATGTCAAAAAAAATTTTTGTTTTCTTTATTCATTCACAGGCTGAGGGCGTCGCTAGCCAGGCAGCATTTATTGCCCATCCCTAATTGCTCAGAGGGCAGTTAAAAGTCAACCACATTGCTGTGGGTCTGGAGTCACACATAGGCCAGACACGGTAAGGATGGCAGTTTCCTTCCCTAAAGGATATTAGTGAACCAGATGGGTTTTTCAGACAATCGACAACGGATTCACGGTCATCATTAGATTATTAATTCCAGATATTTTATTGAATTCAAATTCCACCATCTGCCATGGTGGGATTTGAACCCGGGTCCCCAGAACACTATCTGGGTCTCTGGATTAATAGTCCAGCAAAATACCACTAGGCCATCACCTCCCCAGTGAATCTGAATGTTTTAATCCCAAGAATTTTACATTTTTTTGAGAGAGAATGCAGCCTTAATTGCTACAATATTTTGTAACTATTATGCTGGTCACTGGAATATTTGTGCTATAACAATAACAAATATTTTGGCAGATTCAGTGCAGGTCATCATAATACAGTTGTTGAAATCTCCTAGTATTGTAAACATTGAAGCACGTTCAGATCACAAAGAAAAGCCAATCTGAGAAAATATCAGTTGGCCCTACAATTGGAACTCTCAGCTGAACATTTAACTAAGTTTTAAACACCATCAATATCTGGTATGTTGGTTGGCAAATAGTTAAATACATCCTGCTACAGTATCATTTTATAATCTGTTCTGACTTTATTTTTTGCTGGTTTAGGTTGTATTAACCGTTCTGTATCCATTGCATACAAAAAAGAGAATGCCAAATTGATAAACACAAATGTTTGATTGTGGAATATTTGTGTCTTTGAGTTTCTCAGTAGTTTATTTTTCATATAAATCCACAAAAAATAGAATTGTTTTAGTTAAAGTTGCTTTCTTTTCCCTTTATTTCTCCTTTCCCTCCACTTCCCCAATTTCATTGCATTTTGTAGTGTACATTTATCTTCCTTTTGACTGATAAAAGTTAAGTGGCTTTCAATCAAATGAAATCTGCTCTCCTAATGGGAAACTTATAAAATAAAAGACCATTTAACTCAGGCAAGATTTATTTTCCTGGGTGGAGGATGAAGAGCTATCAGGAATGTGCAAAAGATTCTGCCACAGAAGCAGTGGAACACTTTTCTTATTTGTACTCACCATACGAATGATGTCCGGAGAACAGAACAAATAGCATTTCTTCAGGCCAGACCATAAAATCATGACTATATGCCAATTAATTTAAAAATAATTGTAACACATTAATCCAAGTACCAGAAGATGTTCTGATGTGCTGTTGTAATTCCAGGCACATTATATTCTGAAATCTTCTACAGTAAACATGGAATATTTAGTGCTTAAAATAGGAACTTGTTAATGAAACGATGTGAGCTCATCTTCACTGGTATCTCAATAATAAAATATTGCAGCCCTTTAACCTTTATCAGCTAACAAACATCTCATGCTGATTTTAATACAAGTCTTTTCACAGCATTCAAATTATTTTCAATATGATGGAATGGCTTGATTTATAAAGTTTGTGGGCACTTCTTTTGGAGGGCCTTTTGATTGGAAAGCTCCACAGTTGATTATTTGAGCAGACATGCAATATTGTGGCAATGTCACTGCAGCAATGAACAATCCAGGGTACTGACCACAGTTAAATTATGCTGGAGTCATGAATTATGTGGATAGAAATAGGCTATTTGAGAGTGTAGAATGAACTTACGTTAGACTGGCAATGTGGCTGATAATGATTATTGATTCCTTTACTGAGCAAAAGCAAAACTGAACAAATGTCATCTGGCACTGGACAACATTTACTCATAATCCAGAGTGTTGTCAGCCAGGCTCGCAGTGTTGTGCACTTACAATTTTGAAATCTACATACATATTGTTCACTGCAGACAGATAGAATTACACACTGCACTTGTTTCAATGCAACAAAATAAGTTACAGCCATACTCTTAATTGGTGCTGAGAAATGAACCAGAGTCAACCTGCCTCATTTAAAATTTACACATGACTTGGCAGTTAACTGGCAATCATTTTACCTTGCATTTTCCATAGCAATATCTTTGCCATTCAGATCTGCTTGTCAACAAGCCAGCACTCTCCATTCACATAGTATAAATGTTGGTTCTCCTTTTGCACTGATGTTTCTTGCAAATTGCCCTGATGTGTGAAGATGTAAATTTTCAACAAAATGTGTCATTTTTCAGAAATTCTGCAGTTCTGCACTACCATGCAGCTATAAAAATATCTGGCTGAAAAAGGGATCTGAATTGTAGAAATTGGACTTGTCTGAAATCATTGATTCCCATGACATACAAAGACATTCCTGCTATAAAAAGGCAGAAAGCCTTTTGTCCAGGCTGGATTTAATACTAAGGATATAAGGGACAATGAATGTTCTGAATGCAAAAGGCTGGCATGCATGAGACATAGATAGGACGATGAAAAAGAACAAACTTGGTAAGCTGAAACATCATTTCTCTTTCTGTGGTTCCTTATTTAGGTTCTATACAACTTGAGACGAGAGTTTTTTTACAATATATATTCTAGTTCATTACTGTGACATGAGCACTGTAAATGATAAATGAGTAAAAAAAATCAGACAGTAATGTTCTCCAATATTAAATTAAAAATAATATCCTTTTGCCTTGTATACAAATTTGTTTTATTTGCAATTATAGGACAGATTAAATCTAATTTAATGTTTTAATATTCTTGTCTGATATCTTTAATTTATCATTTCAGATTGTGTTGGATGACTACGCTACCACAAATACTTCAAATCCTTCCTGGCTTGCCAGTCAGATACTTCGGAGACTTTTAAGTGACTCTTGGATAGGCACATGGAGGATAGTAAATGTAAGGTATGCAGGGTAGATGTAGATCTTAGTAGGATAGTAGGTCGGCACAACATCGTGGGCTGAAGGGCCTGTACTGTGTTGTACTGTTCTATGTTCTATGTTCTTAAAGTTAAAAAAAACATGATTTTAACATGTTCAAAAAGAATGTCGGCTAAAGAATTGACACACAAATAGTGCAGTACTAGCACGATCCATGCTACTTTCGAGCACAGTATCCAGTGCGAATGCCGGATCAGTGAATAGGGCATCTGATTCAAAATGTTTCTCTTCAGACAATATAAATTTGAAAGGGTAACATATATAAATGCATGCTGGCAGATGTGTCACAGTGATGTCACAGCACTAGTAATCAAGAACTCCAGGTTAAATGTTCTGAGGGCATAGGGGAAATTTGAATTAAATTTTAAAAATTCCAGGAATAAAAAGTTGACCTAATGGCAACCACAACCAGGTTGATTGCCATACAAACCTACCTGGGTCATGGATGGCCTTTAGGGAGGGAAATCTGCCATCCTTGCCTGGTCTGGCCCACATAATTCCAGACTTATAATAATGATTAATTTATTAAAGAAGTGTCATATCAAACTCAAAAACATCTTTGTTTCTCTCTCCACAGATGCTACCAGGCCTAATTTTCTCCAGCATTTTGTTTTTATTACCCAATTTATTCATTAACCACTCAATAAAATTAGCATGCATTTCTTTAGAAATAGAAAGTCAAATGTATTTTTACCTGTTTGATCCATATTCTGGTGGTGACTGATATCTTAGGATTGTTGCTTCTTGTCTAATTGCTAGAGTTCCAGGATATGGTTTAAGCAATTCCTGAGGATTTGGAGAGTGTGAATCATTATAAAAATTCGCAAGCTCATGAGATTGATTAAGCATTGGCAACATTTGTTTGGTTTTAAAAGGATATTCTGGAGGAGGACCTCTTGGATCTACACCCTTTGACAGGGTTTGAGTAGATTGTTGTCCTCCATTTTTGAAGGCTTTATTTGTTTGTTGGGAAGGGAGACTGTTTTTTGAGGCAGAAAGATGTGACTTTACACCATTCCTTTCCAGAGAAAGTTGCATTAAACGCTCACTAAGAGAACGAACATGACCTTGTTTAAGTTCTTTTAATGCTTCATCTTTGTGTATCTGCCCAGAGCTTACTCGATTAACTGTAGGTCTCCCCTCAGTTTTTGTTTTTTGATTAGTGATCCCTGCAACATAGAAATTAGTGCCAACCAATATTTGTTGCTGCCCTCTGAAGAATTGAGACTGTGCTTTGGCTTCCTCATAGGTTGGTAGTTCTTCAATACTCTGCTGAGCTAGAGTGACCCGTGCCTGCTTCTCCATCACACTGTTGTCCACCTGATTTTCTTGCCCTTGAGGTTCTTGACGTGCTGACTGATGGACCATTTGTGGATCTTCCTGCATGAGGTTCTCTGAGGACGAGTGTGCGCTCCCACTGCTGTCGGTTGGCCCAGTGTTCCCTGTGGCTTGCTGCTGTATTGCCAGTAGGTTCATGTTCTCATGTGGATTTCCATGTCTTAAATGCTCTTGAATTAGGCGCTGCAAAACTGTTCCCGTTGATGCTTCCTCTGAACCTCTCATTTCAAATTTTGGAGTCCCAATGAGGTTCTGAGGAGGTTGGCTGAAAAGTACCTCTTTACCTAGAAAAGAACATGTTTGTTAAAACTTATGTACTGTTTATCTTAAATGTTTAATTAAATATAAAATGTATTGATATGGACTTTGCCATGTACGAGCATAAGGGAAAGGTATTATTTAACTGCTAAGTACATTGACATGACTTAAATGGACGGTCTAATTATTGACCACATTGCTATTTATGGGATTTGGTTGTGCAAATATTGGCTACTATGTTTTCCTGTTTTACAAATGTTTCCGCACTTTAAGAGCACAGTATTTCATTGGCGGTAAATTATTTTGGGGCTGGAAAAAAAAATGAAGCATTAACTTTCTGTAGGCACCTAAATAGAGACCAGTTCTGTATTGTTTCCTTTGACACCTAATGCATTGTGAAACATTGGAAAACATTACCTTCAGTTCACAAGGCAATTTACTAAGCCTATCAATAAATATTTCGGTATGAAAAATAAAGTAAGAAATTCAGCTTGAAAATAAACATGTATGCGTTCTATTATTTTATATAACTGAACTTACAAGTGTATAAAAACAGCCATTACAGATTAGTGGTAGTTCAATTAGGACACTGTTTCATAGACATTTTGAACCAATCATAGTGAAAATAATTCATGCAGATCCACAAGGCCATAAGCTGATAGCAACCAAAACACAATTTTAGTTTAGTGAAAAATTAAAAAGAAGAAAGGTACCTTCTTCCTTTGCATTAATTTCTTCTGTATTTAATGGGAAATGCTTGGGATACAATTCATGTTCCCCATAAAATCCTTGTTCATACAGATATTCACTTTGTTCTAATAAACAGAGTGGAGTACCTGAGCAACATTCATCTTGGGGATCTGAAAATGAGGAACAAGATGTGTATGATGTAAAGGTTTTAACCTAAATATTTAATGAGCTACTGTTATACTTTAAAGGGCTAACATTGTATAGTTGAAGCAAGACTTCTCCTCTTCTGTACTCTAATCCTATTGCTATGAAGATCAACATACCACATACCTTCTTCGTCACCTATCGCACCTGCATGCTTGCCTTCAGTGACTGGGTGTCCTAGAACACCAGATCTCATTGCACCTCTCCCTTTCCCAGTCTATCACCATTCAAATAATCATCTGCTTGCCTGTTTTCACAACTAAATGTACCTGCCTGTTTTTTTTTTAAGCCTACCAAAAGCACCCATCCATCACATGGGTATCTCAGAAACAGCTTTCATGAGCTTCATAGAGAGCAGCATTAGGGTCCACTGCAACTGTGTGACTTTACTTTTATTATACTATAAGAGACCAAACGGTTTTTCAGTCTGTCTCAGTAAATGGTCAGCAGCTCACACCACAGTCCTTTATGTACGGAATGAAGGTAGAAGGTATGCATTAATCTTTAATTTGCTCTAAGTAAGCATTTTTTGAGAGTGATTTTATTTTACTGCTTTAAGCTTCCTGTTTGGGTGACTGTGAGAATGCTTTTATGTGATTAGTTACTTGGACAGTCTGTTGACATTATTCCAGCTTCAAGCTGAGAATCCCCCAGCAAAGAATACTGTAATCAGTCACAATATCACTGAAATAAGGTAGAGGTGAAATTTTCCCTGCTGACTACCAACTTCAGGCCATTTAGTTGGGAGATTTCTAGTCCTAGACAATCAGCCAGAAATGCCCGAAATGGGCCCTCAACTCAAGGTGCAAATATGGAGATAAAATCACAAAGGTATTCAAATCCAGTCATGGTTTTTTTACCTAAGAGCTGAGAAACATACTTATAGGTGGTTTCAAAAGGAGAATATGTATACAATTTGAAGTTATCAGGAAAAGTGAAACAATGACATCAAAAAATATAAGATGTACATAATATTACATTACTTCATAGAGGCAAATTGACCTAAGCAGTTCTGCTGTGAAATAAGACTTTGTATCTGGCCTTGGTTTGCGCAGTGTTTTCAAGGTTTACCTTAAAAAGATGACAAGTCAAAGCACATGAAAGGCATGACTATCCAGTTCAGATCACGCAACACAATGCTACTGTTCTACAGCTGGCTGCTGATCTCTATTAGGTAGTATGGGCACAATGGAAATGCAAGGTATTCAAGCCACTTAGTGTAGCAACTAACACTGCTGTGTATGAGAACAAAGGCAAAATGCCAAACTTGTCACAACTGTTAGCAACTACCTGGGATACTAAAGTATACCTATCATAAAGGTGGCATGGTGGCTCAGTGGTTAGCACTGCTGCCCCAGTGACAGGCACCTAGGTTGAATTCCACCCTTGGGCAACTTTCTGTGTGGAGTTTGCACATTCTCCCTGTGTCTGCATCGGTTTCCTGTCACAGTCCAAAGATCTGCAGGTTAGGTAGATTGGCCATGTTAAATTGCCCATATTGTCCAGGGATTTGCAAGCTAGGTGGACTAGCAAAGGGAAATGCAGGGATACAGGGATAGAGTGGGATACTCTTCAGAGGGTCGGCGTGGACTTGATGGGCCAAATGGCCTGCTTCCACACCGTAGGGATTCTATGATAAAAGATGTTCAGAGTTGGAGGATAAAATGACAGCAGCAACATATGGAAAATGTCCAAATCAAAAGAAGCTGAGCCTGCAGTAACAATGGCAGAGCTCAAAGGAGAAAATGATAGAGGCACTTTCAAGTTTAGGAAGAGATGATTTCAGACGGAGCTTCAGTGACTAAGGTAGGAAGAAAATTACAGAACTGGAACATGATGAACGCAGATTGCAGGAGCAGCAGAAATTATATACATTTGTGGTTAATGCAAAGAAGAAAGAGAACCATTGTGCCCTTGAACTGGCAGAAAAATTCGTTACTAGCTACATGTCTGAACTTGCCCTTTTATAAAAAAAATCAAATCTCAATACAAATTTCCAAAGAAGAAAGTTAGATTGAAAGAACTGACATTTTTCTGACTAACATTCATAACAAACAGACAAGAAAAAGACTAGTATTTGTGCAGGAGGCAGCTGCTTTTTTGTGTCAATTCTGCTGATATCACGGATGGAGATAGCGTAAAACCTGCTGTTCTTCAGGATTATAATTTTACATCTGAAATGCAAAAGTAGAAATTTAAATAACTCCTGAAGAAACATTCCTGCATTTGTAGGGAACTGGTTTTCCTGCTCAACAACATTTGGGAGATTCAGCTGAAAAGCAAAAATAATTAACAGATTGTCAAGGCCTTTAAAGCTAAGGACCAGATGTACAGAAAAGCATCCCATTGCAGGACTATAAAGGTCTTAAGCAGTTCAACATACTTGGTCATTTCATGGTTTCATAGATACCGTAAATTCAGATTTCCTACACGGTTACTGTGCGAATTCTGAGCTTTTCCTGTCCAAAATCCATTTCAATTTCTTGCTTTTGCCTTTCAGGTTCCATCTGGTTATATGGTTAAATACAGAAAAACATGCGCGTCCTATATATTTCTGTAATTCTGGGCTGCCAAACTTATACCCAACCATATAAATAAATTTAGCCAACATAGCCACTCATGCTTATTATTGTTGAGGAGTCAGAGACTGTAATGTGATACAAAGTTACAACTAACACGGACACTTGCAATTAGCTCATTCAGAACATTAACAACTACATGTATAAACGTTACACTGTCTAACTGGAAACTTGGAATATAACAGCTGCCTTGACATTTAGGGGTGGTGAACAGATGTTTCTGGAACACTATTCAACATGAACTGCAATGTTAATCACTCAGGAGGTTGGTTTGAAATCAAACCCTCCTCTTCCATCACCTCCACTATTAGCTTGTTTGGGTTTCTTTTCCCATTTTCCTATTTCATGCTAAGCACTTCAATAATAAGGCTGTGGATATGCCATGCAAATGAACATAGCATAATTTTAGGACTACAATCTGTATAGGGAAAACATTAGAATTTATTATTAAAGATGTTGTTACAGGACACTTGGATAAGTTCAAGGTTATCCAGGCAGAGCCAACATGGTTTTGGCAAAGGGAAACCATGTTTAACTAATTTTGGGTTTTTTTTTGAAGAAGTACCTTGGTAGCTTGTGCTGCAAAAGTAGAGCAAGTGGATGTGTTATACTTAAATTTCTAGAAGGCATTTGATAAAGGTGCCATAAAGGTCATTGCTGAAAATAAAAGCTCATGGTGTTGGGGACAACATATTAACATGAATAGATGATTCAGTGGCTAAAAGGAAGCAAAGAGTAAGAAATAATAGGTCTTTTTCAGGCTGGTACGATGTCACAAGTGGTCTGCTGCAGTGGTTGGTGCTAGGGCCCCAATGTTTTACAATTTACGTAAACAATTTGGTTGAAGGAATGTTGGTATGGTAGCTAAGTGTGCTGATGACAAAGCTAAGCAGGAAAGTCAGTTCTGAAGAGGACACAAGAAGCCTACAAAAGGATACAGATATTTTAAGTGAATGGGCAAGGATTTGGCAAATGGACTATCAATGTGGAAAAAATGAAATTGTCCATAATGGGAGAAAAAATAAACAGAAGCATATTATCTAAATGGTGAGAGCTCTGAGATGCAGAGATCTGGCTATCTTAATGCATGAATCATAGAAGGTGAATATGCAGATTCGGCAAGTAATCAGAAAAGCTAACAGAATATTATAGTTTATTGTGCGGGAGATTGAATACAAGATTAGGATGGTAGTACTTCAGTTAAACAGAGCACTGGTGAGACCTCATCTGGAGTATTGTGTACAGTATGTGCCATTATACTTAACAAAGGATGTTGACGCATTGGAAGCAGTTCAGAGATTTACTTAAGAGTCATAGAGATGTACAGTACAACACAGAAACAGACCTTTCAGTCCAACTTGTCCTGCCAACCAGATATCCTAAACAAATCTATTTGCCAGTATTTGGCTCATATCGCTCTAAACCCTCCCTATTTATACACCCATCCAGATGTCTTTTAAATGTTGTAATTGTACCAGCACTATCACTTCCTCTGCCAGCTCATTCCATACATGATCCACCCTCTGGGTGAAGATGTTGCCCCTTATGTCTCTCTTAAATCTTTCCCCTCTCACCTTAAACCAATGCCCTTTAGTTTAGGACTCCCTTACCCTGGGGAAATGACCTTGACTATTCACCCTATCCATACCCCTCGTGATTTTTTTAAACCTCTATAAGGTCACCCCTCAGCCTTCGACGCTCCTGGGAAAACAGCCTCTGCCTCTTCAGTCTCTCCCTTTAGCTCGAACTCTCTAACCCTGGCAACATCCTTGTAAATCTTTTCTGAACCCTTTCAAGTTTAATGACATCTTTCCTACAGCAGGGAGACCAGAATTGAATGCAGTATTCCAAAAGGGACATAACCAATGTCCTGTAGAGGTGCAATATAACCTCCCAACTCCTACATTCAATGCTCTGACCAATAAAGGCAAGCACACTAAATGTCTTCTTCACTTCCCGGATGATCTGCGACTCCACTTCCAATGAATAATGAACCTACACTCCAGGGTGTCCCTATTTGGCAACACTCCCCAATAGCTTACCATTACGTGTATAAGTCCTGCCCTGATTTTCCCTACCAAAATGTAGTACCTCACATTTATCTGGATTAAGCTCCATCTGCCACTCCTTGGCCTATCCGAGGTCCCATTGTACCCTTTCTCGGTGTCCACTACACCACCAATTTTCGTGTCATCTGCAAATTTACTAAACATTACTCCTATAGTCACATCCAAATCATTTATATAAATGGCAAAAAGGAGTAGACCCAGCACAGATCACTGCAGCACACCGTTGACCACAGGCCTCCAGTCTGAAAAGCAACCCTTCACCACCACCCTCTGCCTCCTACCTTCGAACCAGTTCTGTATCCAAATGCTAGTTCTCCC